AGTTGGAATCTGCCATCCTGTAACGTTTTTTGAGGTCTTCCACTCTTGAATGAGAGGGAAAAGGACTTGACTTTCTTCCTCTCCGGATTTTAAAAAGTGATATGGTCACCTCTCTGTTGTAGTTTCTCAAGAGTAAACATGTCAAGCCCCTTCACTGTCTTAGATCTTACAGAGGACTTAAGTATTTGCTTTCACTCCCCTGATCATCTTTGTTGCCATTTTCAGAATCTCTTCCAATTTCTCCCAATTAAAATATGAGCCCAGAACTGGATGCAGTATGCAAGATGGGTATTATTATTATCCCATCCTTTTTATACAGTATGTAACTCAAGGCAGCAAACATACCTAATACTCCTGCCTCCTATTTTCCCCATAACAACAACCCTGTGAGGTGGGTTGGGCTGAGGGAAAGTGATTGGCCCAAAGTCACCCAGCTGGCTTTCATACCTAAGGAAGGCCTAGAACTCAAAGTTTCTAGGCCAGCATCTTAGCCACTACATCAAACTGGCTCTCAGTGCCAGTATGCCCAGTGGAGTGGAGTGATTACAGTAGTTCCTGCGATTTGCGATTTACTTTTTTTGCAGTTGCATCACACTGGTGGCTCACAAGCAGCTAGCTACTATCCCAGATTCTTCAAAGTACTGTTACCAAGCCAGGTACAAGTACAAGTGTGTTTTTGATGTCTGTACAGGGTGCAGTTTCTAATGATTCCAAGGAGGGAATTTTCATCCTTTAACAAAGGATAACACTTTATACACACCATTTCATTGGCATAGTCACCAATTATGTTCCTTATCATTCACTGCCAGCTCAGATCCCAATAATCTGTGTGTGTGTGTGTGTCTATGTGAAGCTGGGTGGTTTTTTGTTTTTCTTTTTGTATTTGATTATGTAGAACTGCATTTGACATTTGGTGTCCAGTTTGGTATAGCAGTTAAGGCATCAGGGTAGAAATAGGGAGACTGTAATTCTAGTCCTGCCTTAGACATGAAGCTGGCTGGGTGACCTTGGGCCAATCACTCTCAGCCCTAGGAGGAGGAGGAGGAGGAGGCAATGGCAAACCACTTCTGAAATCGTGCCAAGAAAACTGCAGAGACTTGTCCAAGCAGTTACCAGGAGTCAAGACTGACTTGAAGGCTCCCCCCTCTCCAAAAAAACAAAAAAACAAAAACCAGTTTGGGGAGAACCTCTTCAAGCCATTTGAAATTCAGTTTTGACTTTACTATCCTGAATAAAAGGAATCATGAACAAACTTTCCCACATTGTTGCTCGTTCTTAATTCCAACTTCCTTGTAAACAAATACTTTGAACATCTTTCCAATTTGAAAATTGTCAGTTTATTCCTATTCTGTTTCTTGCTCTTTGATCAGTTAACAATAAGAATGTTTCTCCTCATGTTCCATGACTGCTGAGTTTGCTTTGGACCTTTTGTGAGTGACCATTTATTTATTTATTAGATTCATATATCAAATTTTGGAACTCCAAGTACATAATGTGTCCTGGATCATTGTTGTCTATGTGCTTGCTGATAACTTCAGAATAGTCTAATGCAATAAGATTTACCATTGTGGAAGACATGTTGCTTTTTCTCCAAAACATTATTCAATATATTTGATTATTAAAATTTAATAATTTAAATATTAATGCTCTTCAATCATATTTTCTACAGTTTTATCCAGAATGTACATTCAGCTAGATGTAAATTCCAATCAAAATCCATTTCAAGATTTGGAATTAAATTGGTATTCTCTAGGCCTTGGGAGCAGTTGCCAGTGTAAAAAGGAATTGCATGGTTTTGTCAGAAAATCAGCAATTTTACATTTTTAGTTATTTAAGGACTCTCCAGTGGATAACATCTGGACCTAGCAATGTATTTATTTTTAATGTTTCAGTTACACTTAAAGCTTCATTTCTTATTAGTGCTTTTGATTTCAGTTTATTTGATTCCTCTTTTGAAACAGTTTGCTTAGGCACAGACAACAGTCCGGTGTCCTCAGCAGTGAAGACTGAAACAAATAATTCATTCAATTTCTTTCTAATTTTTCACTTTGGAGAATATCATTTAATATTACTGTTGTCGGGTTACCCCAAATAAGTTGATTGTCTGAATATATTTCTGAATATATTTAAGTAATCTGTTGTGTTCATTTTAACAGTCTTTGCCATGTATTCTTCCATGGGTATGTGCAATAAGTGGAGTGGTGGTGGAGTGATGAAATGTGCGATGGCATCATCGCACAAATGTTGTGACTTCCCCACTGGGCTGCAAATACATAACAAATGCAGCACTTACATCATAACATTGCTGTGCGTGTATTTGCATTTTGGCGGCATGGTTTGCTGTGGACAGTGCTATTTCCTCATTATCTTTTGACACCCTCCCCCCATACTTGTATTTCTTTTGTTTTCCTTGTGATGGCAAATCTTCCAGTTGTTCAAAGAAGCCTCTTGCCTATAATAGCTTCTCTGATCCTGCTCATGCTAGTGGTACTTCTTCTAGCCTGGCATATATTATTGTAGTTTTGAATAATCACAAAGCACTGAAGAGACTTGGCTCTTAACTCTCTATTTATTTTTCACCAGTCCTCTCATTTTGGGGAAGTTTGCTCTTTCAGAATCAAGTATAAACTTGTTAAGACTTTTTTTTTCTTTTTAGCAGTCATTGAACTGCACGCATTATTTCAATTAATATCAACTGAAAACCTAACCTTACATGTCTTATTCTGGTTAATCTTGTAACACCTGTCAATCATTCTTTAGATGTTACAGTTTCCAATTATGTTTAATAGCTGTGAACTGAATTGCTTGCAGTTTTAGTGATTTAAATTTTATTCCCTTTATTCAATTTCTTTCTGGTATAAACAATAGTAAAGAATTATTAAATGTGTATCAAAGCACATCAGCAGGAAAGTTTTAAAGTTGTATCCTATTCCTGTGGAATAGAGGCAGTAAGATTTACCATTTGTAGAAAAACTTTTGGTTATGTCTGTTAAATTTCCTTAAGAAAGAGGCTCCTTATGTGAGGAGCCCCCAGCAAAAGGGCCTCTGTCCTTCATTTCTGCCTAAGGTAGTTCTGGAAAATAAACATACAGGTCTGCTTCATACCTCACAAAGCCATTTATGATTTGTTTGGTTTTAGCTTTACCTGTACCATTTGTGGTTCATTAAACCATGGTTAAGCAAATATTCCCCCTCAAGTCCTGCTATGCTGCCTCAATATGGGGGGAGAGGAGCTTTTGTTTCTGAGACGGATGAATGAAGGATTCCAGGAGTTTACACCAAGAGGACCCACCACCAAGGTCATCCCAGCAGTCCAGCTAAAGCAAGCAGGCCCCTATATTGGGCAACAGCCATATAGGAAGATGCTAGAGCGAGTGATCACTTTAGTGACGATGATAAAGGCTTCATTCATACTGCATGGGAGAAGGCAATGGTAAACCACTCCATGCTTTATTCCATATTCAGGTGCTGTTTTTTGACAGATGGCTGTGAAGATTTATGTCCACCGCTGCTCCTACTACAGTACACTCAAGAGGAACAGTGTGGAGAGTAATCTTCATGATGATGCTGTTGTTGATACTATGGTGATCTCGCTGCTGTTCCCTCTTTATAAAAAGCAAGGTCTAGGACTTCAAAGTCATGTGCACTGCTGCTTCTGCTGCATGCAATGGGAGCAATGATGGAGAATGATTTTCATGGCAGTTTTACTGTCAGTATTCATCTTGCTGTTGCTCCTCCTCCAGTCCTATTTTTTTAAAAGATCTTTTATTTTAAAAAGAAAAGTCTAGTGCTTTCTGTAGCACTCTCTCACAAGAGTGCTGAACATGACTTTGAAGAGGTCTAGCATTGTTTCAGAAGATTAGTGATACATGTTAATAAGGAGTTTGAGTACGACCTGATCAAGCCCCAGCCTGGTAACACGTGGGCAATGGCATGTGGAAGCCAAGTGTCCTGTTATCCCAGCAACACAAATCAAAATGGCCTTAGAGGGTAGTGCTCAACAACTGGAGTGGAGGAGGCATATACAGTTCCGCCGAATATGGCCAATAGACGTTGGGCAGATCTCAGGCCCTAATGGTGTAATCATCATGGTTTTGGGCAACATTCTATCCTCAAGATCTTGCCATTTCATCCTATTGCAGCACACGCTGATCACGCGAGAACAAGCCACCACGAGCTGCACAGCTCTCCAGGACAGAAGGGGCTTGAGTAAGAAAAGGCAAGGCTGAAGCAGTGAAGATGCCATGAAAACAGCTCTTGTATCCTCAAGTGGAGTGGGTGCCAAGAGACAGCTGGCTTTACTCACTTCCTTGTAGAAGGCCTACTGGCTGGTTGCAAGTGGTTTTCTGGCAACAACAATGTTTCTTGCTGTAGACATGGTCCCATCTGGGATCTGGTATAAGAAAACAGTTTCTGTAGTAACACAAAGGTACCTCTCTGAAGAGATCAGACTTTTCCTGTGAACTGAGGGGAGAGTCAAGGAGTGACAGGGAGGATTAGGCAGAGGAAAAGAATCCCCAAACTTTCTATAAGCCCATAGCCCTACAAAATCAGTCCTTTGAGTGGAGGAAAACAAGGATGCTAGTTTTAAGAAATGTGAAAAAATGTTTCACAGCATAGTTGGTGTGGTGCAAATCAAATAAGGAATCTACTAGTTAAGTACAGTGCAATGTTTTGCTTCAGGAATCCTGAAAATACGTATTTTTCAACAAAACTGTCCCTTTCTGTTTCAGGAAACCCATTTGTACACCTTTAATAGTTCCTCAGACTGCAAATATTCAGCTACGCAGAATTTCAATCCATTCATGCTAGGAAAGCTGTGAAACCTAGTTTCCAAACACACTAGGAGATAAAGAGATACAAGTATACAACAGGATTAGAAATGTTTTGTATCACAAAATATCTATACGTAGTTGAAAAAGGGTGCAGGCGAGCTACATTTATTTAGATTATTTAATTATTTATTTTGGCTTTTATGTGCTTCAATCCACAGACACTGAAGGGCTAACCAATTTTCACTTTTGATAATTCAGTCTAAAAATAATAATAATCAAACTACCACAAAATCAGTAGTATAAATGTATCACAATTATAACTTTTGCCATCAATTTTTGTGGTGCCTCCTCTTAATCTCAGAACAATACTTGCATATCCCAAACTCTTTGGAAGAACCAGGTTTTAATAGCTCCCTAAAATTCTAACAGACAATGGAATTCTCCCTGTTTCTAGGGTTAAGTTGTTTCAGAGAAGGGAGATGTGAAATGAATGAAGATGTGAAATGACAAGGACATGAGTGATTATCTGCAACTGGAACACAAACTGAGCCTGTGCAAAAGCTTCCTGGCCATAACTGCCACCTTCATTTCCAGCAGGAGCTGTGAGTTCAGAATTCCATATTGCACACCTATTCTGTATGGGGGTGCACAACCCCATCCAGAGTCAAATATGCATTTAATCTAGAATCTGAAGGCCACCAATTTGCAACTCTCATAGACAGTCCAGTAGGATACCATGACTGATGGTATCAAGGGTCATGGAGGTCAGCCAGGAGGGTGGCACTCCTCCTTATAGGTCACACCAAAAGTTATCCACAACAGCAACCAGTACAGTCTTAGTCCTTTACCCAGGCCTGAATCCTAATTAAAAAGGGTCTGGATAACCTGCTTCATCTAGCGCTCTCTATAACTACTGGCCCACTACCTTCTCAACCACCTTTCCAAGAAAGGGAAGGTTGGAGGCAGCCTGATAGTTACCCAAAACAGCTGGTCAGAGGATGGCTTCTTAAGGAGTGGGTGCATTATTGCTTCCTTCAGGGCAAGTGATATCACCCCCCTCTCCCAAAGAAGTATTCACCACAGCTTGAAACTAGCCTTGCATCACCTTCCTGGCTGCTTTCATGAGGGAGATGCCCACAGGTGGCAGAGCTAGGATCACAAAGAACGTGTTCCATTTCCTTGAGATCGATAGACATGTCTTACCTCATAGTTTCATTAAATTGTCTCTGACTTGATGCCCCATATAGATAGATACTGACTGCAGGGAATTATACAGTACATTTGAAGGGCACTGAACTGGATCTCAGACTCTGTATAAAAAAAACCATGCAGAGAGGAGAAGTAGATTGTAACAGCTCTACTAACTGCACTTTAAAGTCATGCAGACTGAAGCAGCATAGAAGTTGAAGTAACATATAAATGAACATATAAGCAAGCCAACTGTTGTTGATGTTTTTAAGCACCCACTTGATTTCTTTACTACAAAAAGCCCAGTCTTGAATATTTGACAGGTGGTTTGGTTGGGCTGCTTTTTGGAAGCCAAAATAAAGGTTTTGCTGGAGATGAACATTGGGGGAATCATAATGGATCCATCCTTCCCACCCTCCCAAATTTGTCCTAATGTTTTTACATACCTTACATACCTATATACTGGCTGGGGAATTCTGGGACTTGAAGTCCACTCACCTCAAAGTTGTTCTGATTGGGAAACACTGACTTAGAGATTATTTACAGAAAGTCAACACCACAAAGTTGTGAAACTTTTCCTTCTGTATGTCCTGGCTGATGCACTAAGGAAGAACTGGCTTAAACTCTGGTTGGTGGCTGTTCCCTCCATAAAATACTCTTTAAACACAGTATTTATTTACAAAGCTTTAATAGAGCAAACATGGAAAGGCATTGCCCAATATACAGGGGGAAGGGTGTGGCGGAGAGAGCGAGAGAGAGAGCAGGTTCAACTATACAAAGTGATTGGATCTTGAATTGTAGCTTTCTGAGCATTGAATGGAACACTGGATGTGGGAGACAGAGGTTAAAGATCTCCCTTTAGGTTATTCATCTGAATCCACCTACAAGTGCTAGTTGCTGAAATACCTGAGCATTTTCAAATCTGGTTTTCAGAAATCAAATGGCAATACTTTCAGATAAGAAGTGCTGCCAGACAAGGAATTTATTGTGTAATCAACCTCCTTGATGACATTTTACATGGTTTACAGAGGACATTGCTTTCCAGTTATAACATTCTCTTCTGTTTCTCCCTCCCCCCAACACACAAGAGTTTTCATTTTTTTTTAAATAATGAAAATTAACATAGTAATATAATACTTTTGGATTACTAGAACAAGCCGCTATGTGTCTGGAAGCACCCCAGCAATCTGATTTCCTTGGATAAGATAATTATTAATCTTACAAACCACATTCATAAAATCCTCAGGTCTGGATGGGTGAGCAGAAACATTAAAAAAGAATGATCATGCTAGCTTCCACCAAATGAGCATCTAGCCCAGTGTTGCAGGTCAGACAGTGGCTGTGTGGATGCCCCCTCCTTCCCCCCTGCAGAGAAATCTATAGGCAAGGCACAATAAAAATAGCCATCCTGTCACATGTCCACAACAACAGGCTATCAGAGATATTTTGCCTTTGAACATGAAGGTTCATTTCTAGACAGCTTTCCATTCACCTTCCCTCCCTTCACTCTTCTACTGAATAATTCACTGAACATAACCAAACACTGCCAAATAAGATACAAACTCAGAACAGAAAAGAGAATAAGAGAGAAAATAGTTGTTAAAGGAAATAATCCAACTGGTCTTGTGAAAAATGAGAGACTGCCATCAACAGGATATCTCTCAAAACTATACTTCACTTGAGTGCTAGGTGGTAGTGTGGATTGGGGGTGGAGAAGAACGGTTTTCCAGTTTAACAGCACAGGGAGGTCTCTCTTCCCAACTAGAGTGACTCTGTTCCATGTCATGATCTATGAAGGAAAGGGAAGAAAGATCAGGAAGAGGCAAAATCTGCTTTAAAAAATATTATTTCAAATCAATGTAAATGTCAGTTTCTTGTTTGTGAATCCTGGGAATCCAAGTTTTGTAAAGATGTGGAAATGTCCTTGTTTTTTTTAGAAGGTTACAATTCCCAGGGTTTTTATTTGAGAATCATGACATCAAAATAAATTCGTAAGGGGAAGAAGCTAGTTCATAGAATCCAGGCTTGGAGGGATGAAATATATATAATTCCAACCCAAGATCAGATTTCTTTTTCTCTCAAATTCCCACCCAGATCAATGTAACTTGCATTTCCCAGACCACATTCTATCTTAAAAAGGGATTGCATTAATTAAGAAAACAGATCTGAAAAGGAAGCAGTTCCAGATGGGCCAAATAATTGAGTCAATTTCTCTGTTAGAACGAAAAGGCCATATTAATCATATTCAAGGGATGTATGTGTGCTCTTTAGAACTCAAAAGATTTTAAACAATTCTCTTTCCAGATTTTTAAAATAATGGATATAGAGTGCTAACTGGGTAAGACAAAGCTTTCTGCATGCCTTTGGGCCAACCTATTTCATGAAAGGTAATTCTAACAACTCCAATTTAGAGTTTGGTAGCAATAGTGTCACAGCCTTGACCTAAGAGGATGATTAGGAGTTTTGTATCTTTAATAGCTCCTCAGAAATAGGGATAACTTTCCTTATGAGCAGACATGTTTCTAGAGCAGTGTTTCTCATCCTTAGCAACTTTAAGATGTGGACTTCAACTCCCAGGATTCCCCAGACAGCTAGGGAATTCTGGGAGTTGAAGTCCACATGTCTAAAGTTGTTAAGATTGACAAATGTTGTCCTAGAGCCTCAAAATTGCACTTGTTTTTCTATCTCCCTGGCTTCAAGACTCATAAATACAAAGCACTGAGTAACTTATACTTTCTGCCTTAGTTCTTCCGTCAAGCAAAAATTGAAATAATAGGGAGCCCCTTCATATGAGATAAACCTGCAGTCAAGTCCTTTACAAAAGAAGAAATGCAACAAATTGTCCGCAGGAAAAGAGAAGGCCTAACATTGTACCATTTAGCAAGCGTTGCAGTCCGAGACACAGGTCCATTACCTGTTAGTGGTGGGTCTCCCTCTTCCAGCTTCACATTTGTCTCCTGTTCTGGGGCATCAGCCCCTTCTGACTTCTCTGGTCCAGTAGGGACTTCCTCAACAGATCCTGCAAAGGATACTTTCTGCCCACCTAAAGAAACCAAACTTCATTGTCACAAAAAAGAAGGAAAAATAGCTCCTCCTCCTTCAGAGAGCTCAGGGTTACACTCAATATATATTGCACCTCCTCATGGCCCAATCCTAAAATTAATCACCCCCTTCTGTTTCAAAGAATGTAAGCACTTAAAATGCATGTTCAAATTCCACAAAAGCAACGCACGTAATTTAAGAAGCTCAAAGAATTTTGTCTAGATTTTGGGAATGTTTATATCAGTCCTTTATTATAGGTGCTATTTAATATACTCTACATATTAGATCTGTTTTATTCTTATCTTCATACAGGTAGTCCTCGTTTAGCGACCATTCGCAGTTACGACGGTGATGAATAAGTAACTTTATGACCAGTCCTTGCATTTACAATCTTTGCAGGTGTGTAAAGCAAAGGAAAGCTAAAGTAAAATTGTAAAATTGTGATGTCTCACTTACCAACTGCTTCGATAACAACCAAGTTGCTGGTCCCAATTCTGGTCGCCAAATGAGGACTACCTGTAGATGGTTCAGTGATTCAGAAACTACTGGCTCCTAATAATCCATTGTTGTTATTTCATCATATATGACTTCAAGAGGTAACAGAGATGACTTCAAGGTGAGACAGAAGGCTTACAGTGACCCTGGGCTGTAGTCCATTGATATTTTCAAAATGAGCAAATCTCAGCAGATATTCAAAACACAAGTGGAGCTAGCTAATGCAAATAGTTGAGCTGTTCTGGCAGCTCTCCTTTTCTCACATGCACTCCCAACACACATAAACATATTTAAATTCATGAAGTAGCACTTCACACAACATAGTCTCAGCAGTTCTCCCTTTTCCACCTGTATTTTCCACAGCCATCTTTCCTTGGGGAAGCGGGCTCCATCTGGGAAACCTCAGTAATGTGCTGAATAATTTGCTCTTTGTTAAGTTACTGATTAAAGTGGGAACATGGAAATCTTGTAATATGGGATTTACACAACAGATTGTCACCAACAAAAGTGAGAATAAGACTGCCTGCATTATCCTTAATTTTTTAATGTAATGTAAACTGCCAAAAGGAAAACATGTACAGAATGACAAGAATCAATGAGATGCCTAAACTTGAGAGGGGGAAAAATTACTGTTCTCATCCCCACCCAGGCTATGAATATTCTCCATGTTGAATATCTTGTCAATATGATAAATCCTTTTGATTTTATAATAAGCAGAACTTTCAGACTTTATACAATGGTAGAACTGTCACAAGTAGGAGGTTGCAAGAGCTCAGAAGCAATTACTGACAGACAATCCAGGCAAAATGATGTCCCTTGGGTCACAAAGAGTTAGAAGTGACTGAATGACTGAACAACTACTGCTACTTAAGTATCTCACTTGCTGTGCTATGGGAGTTTTTTAAAAAAAGAAAAAGTATGGAGGTGATTCTGTTTGAAATCAGAACTTCAGTGCCCTGGAGTGAAGTGTGATCTTTCCCTTTTCCCCCACTGTAAGCCTTGACAAAACATACATGCACGTGTGTATATATATATATAGAAATATAAATATATAAATAAATATATATGAAACCTTTATTTCTCAACAAGGCTTTGGTTCTGACCATTACAGTTCTGATCTTATCTGGATATGAATCCAGGCCTGATCTCCTATCCTGTTTTGTAATTTGTCTCTGTCTGAAGTGATTGCTATTTAAATGCCAGTGGGAATGTTACTTTTTTTTTTTTTTAATGTTGCTAATTGCAGAATAAAGGGTTCAGGGAATATTTAGCCAGAATTGTGGTGGAACAGAAAAGAGCTAAACCTCCTTTTTCTACATACTGTAGCCCCAGAACAAAGCGGACTCCTTAATGCTTATTACTTAATATTTTATCATTTTAATTTTTATAATGAAATCCTTTTACTTTCTATGATGCTGTAGGAAATACATTTTTAGTTTTGTGTAGTTAAGCCCAAAATGTTCCTCAAAGATCATCCTTTATTCTTCATGAAGTTAAATCTCAATCTCTGTTTCTTTCTGCGCGTCTTATGCGTTATCTGTAGCGCAAAATGCACGTGGACAAACACTTAAGCACCATGCAGTCCCGCAGCTTCCCAGCCTGGTCCCCTGCAATGTGTTGGGATCACAGTATCCTCAATTACCTGGCAAATACGACTTTTGCAACAAATTGGAGGGGCTGTTGTACATGGTCTGCCATCTGATGTACTGAGGCTGCTGAATTCTGTTGGAACGGTTGATAACTCAGCAGAAAAACGTAACGTTTCCATTATATAATGATGTCTTTAACAAAAATAACCTTGTTTCTTGGCCTGGGTGACAGAAGTATATGGAGCATAGAGCAAGCTGTCAAAAGCCCTCACCAATATATAATAGTGAAGGGAGTGGTGCTTGTGATCCATAGCATGGAACTACAATATTATGAGCATCTCGCTATTTTTATGTTTAAACTATTGAAGAATTGCTCTATTTGGTGCACTGCTTTCTGTGACATTAATCAAAACAGCAGCTGCACTTGCTGACAGTTAAGCCATAAAATGTATTGCAGTGAACCTTATTGCAGTTCAATCGACTCAAATGGTCTCTTTGCAAAAGCCAGAGAATCTGCTGGGTAATGGCAGGGTGACTCTGGAGGATTTCAGGATTACTGCACATATATTATAGGGTACTAATGACGGATGGAGCACCAGTTTGGGGTAGTAGTTAAGGCATCAGCTGGAAACTGGGAGACGGTGAGTTCTAGCCTTAGGCACAAAGCCAGCTGGGTAACCTTGGGCCAGTCCCTCTCTCTCAGCCCTAGGAAGGAGGCAAGGGGAAACCACTCCCAAAATCTTGCCAAGAAAACTGCAGGGACTCGTCCAGGCAGTTGCCAGGAGTCAACACTGAATTGAAGGCGCCAAAAACAAAAAAAAAGTGAAGGATGGGAAATCCCAGTGTCTGTTCATTTACATGTTACCTCCCCCCTCCAACACATAGAGAGATTACATGTATTGTAATCATACAAACTTCCATAAATTGGTGCCTTCCAAATGTGTTGGTCACTGAGGAGGTTATGAGAATCAGTCCAACACATCTTCTGTTAGGTTAGGGAAGGCTAATGTATAACTTACAAGATGCATGGCGAGAGGTAACATGTTGTCAGAATCCAATATCCAAATAGTTTACATTCAGAAGCTGAATTCTGTGACCTATATAAATTATGCAAACCAAGCACTGCTATACATATTTAATTTGCATAATGCTACTTTGGCTTGTCATGTGGAAGCAGTAAGGAATATGGGAGAGTCACAGAATCATCACACGTTCTACTAGCAAACTCAAATATAAAGCTCAGAGACATTTTGAGGTCTGACCAGTTTCGAAAGGAAACAGATGTGCTCAAAAAACAGGTACTAGACTGCGCACACTTGGTAAGATTATGTAGTAAATATACCGTATATATTTGTGGATAAGCCAAGAAATTTAGATGCCCAAATACACCCCCCAAAATTGGGTTCAGCTTATCCGTGCATATATATGGTAACACTTTTTTTAAAAAGTATTACTTTCAAAAAGTATACTTTTTAAAAAAGTATATACCTGCATATCCCATATATACTTGCATGTAAGCCATCCATAGATAAGCTGACCCTCAAATTTTTTAACCAAATACCATGAAAAATGGATCACCTGTGGATAAGCCAACTGTGAAAATTAAAACATACGAACATTTCGAGGGCTTGGCTTATCCATGGGGGGTGCATTTTTCATGGTATTTTGGTTAAAAATTTGAGGGTCGGCTTATCTGTGGATGGGCTTCCATGTGGGTATATATGGTAACTATATGCATTTGAAAAATAAATCATGCTTAGCACAATACGCTTAGCCATATGCACACTGTTCTCCAGTCATAATTATTCTAAAATCCTGTTTTCAGCAGGCAAGGAACTTTTCCCTTTGTAAGAAAGAAATTAGAGGCAGAAACCTTTTTCTTTTTCTGCAGTTCTGCAGTTGTGGATATGGCAAAGAAGGATATGTCTAAGGCTAAACCACACTCTGTCACAGTGGATGGTGAAGGGAGAAAGCTGGATTTCATAGGAAGGAGAACTGCTTAAAGCTTGTTTAGCAGTCTATCAACATTTTCTGTGAGATAAACTTACTTTTTTATTCTCTCATCTCCCTTAGGAAAAGTGAAAGGCCAATTTTTCTTCTCATAGGCCTATGTGTTTTCAAAATACCAGTTCCATACCACTAAAGACTGGGTGGATTGCCAATCTTATAGGAGATTCCATTGGCATAGCTCCAAATTATATCACAGGAAGTTAGGTCACATACAAAAGATCTCCCTTTTGAGAACAAAGGTTCTTTAGTTTACAAGCAGATGACACCTAGAACAAAGTTCAGTCAGAGAATATAACTAAAAAATATAACTAAATAAGAGTGGTTGTTTATAGTTCATCTATAAGTCACATCTACCCTTAATAGCAACTGGCTGATAGTAGCATTATCCCATTCTGTGCTTCAGAGTCACTTCTACAAGATGCTACTGCTTTTCAGGTACCATCTGAATCTTTGAATATGTGGATATTCATGGACTTCAGTGGCAAGAATTCTGCACTAATGGAGTCTCCAATTAATTGAGCTCTTTTTATCAGCAGAGAATGGCCACTGCTGTCAAGTCTGAACAGAATGGGATGAGATCCAGAGGCATGTGTTCCTTCTACCTTGAACAGATCTGCTACTGTACACGGTCTTTCCTATTTCATTACTTATCAGCTTACTTAACCAGTTCTCCAACGGAGACTTGGGGTACATCCTGACATCCCTCACCCCCCCCCCCCCCCCCCCCCCCCCCCGAGGCTTCAACCCTTTTCCAATATCTGGACTCCGTATCATTGACTTGACTTAACTGAGACAACAGTTAAAAGCATTGGAAGAGATTGCCTGTAAAGGACGCTGCTGACTCTCTGCAAGTTTTTACTATCTTTCAAAGACCTGTGAAAACTGTTTGGCTACTGACAAGAGAGATGGGGGGGAGGGGGGGAGAGAACTACCACTACCAGTCTAATGCCTTTGATTACCTTCTCCAGCAATAAATAAATATATTGTAACACCCACATTTACCTTTCCGTTTCTGTGATTTGGAGAGAGCTGGGTAGACTGGATGCTCAGATTCCTTGGGCTTATTTTCCAAGACTTTGTGGGGTATCATGACAATGATTATGAAAGAATGCAATAAGAAGAAGAAAAAAAAAAGAATTATCCCTTCAAAGATAAAGCAACCATTTTCTGACACTTTGGTTTGGCCTGCAGTCTCTTCTAAAATAATTGTTTCTCACTGGTTCTCTGACTGCAAACGAATCTACTGATCTACTTTCATTGGTTACTCTGAGCAGAACTCCAGAAGAGTCTTGAATTTATCTGCAATTGGCCTGCAGAATATTCTGTTCTACCTGCTGGAATAATTTCCTGCAGTCTTCACACAGTGTGCATCCCTCTTGCCTGATGAAATTGTTAATTCTCTTAATAAATATTTCACTCAAAATTTGCTCCTTCTGAATCCTCCTGGAATTCCCCTGTCTAGGGAAGCCCACGTTTCTGGAGGACATTCAAGTTGGGCCATAGAGAGTGTATCATGCAAGAATGAGAAAAACAATCCTGCTTGCAAATACCTCTGCATCACTACAAGATAAACATGGGAGAACTACCCCTTGCTGCTGTTCAGTTTCAGTGCTGATTATTTTAACTATGCAACCACAGAACATACTAGTATGTCATGAGATCTGGCATGCGGAAATGCTGGTTTATCTTACCAGTGCATTGCCTTAGCAGTCTTGCCTTGGAAGCTGGACCCAGCTGTTTCTGCCCCTGGGATGCTGTAAGAGACGACAAAGAAATATGAACAAGAAACACACTATGAGTGCTTTATTGCGGGGAGGGGGGACCGCATTACTACTCTGTGTGTGGGGGGGGTGTTGTTTATTTAAGAGAGCAAATTTCCAATACTGATGATTGCTCAGACTGAGAGTTAATGGGTTTTCACTCACTTTCAGCCACATTTGTATGACTCCTGGTCACATTCCCATGTCACACTGGAGCAGTTCCACCTCTGTTCTTTCTGCTGATTAAAAACAGCACCATGCAGCTAGATTTCATGAGAGTCTGAAATCTCCAAAGTCTGCTTTAGAGCACCAGGCAACCAGCGCAAGTTTCAAACCTTTGCTCTGGTACAGCTCGAAAAAGCAAATACGTGGACAGAGGGACTGGGGGTGGAAGAAAGAGAAATGCCTTCTATAGATTCCACCTCTCCCATCTTGCAGCTCCTTCCTGCTGAGGAGAAAGCTGGTTTCCTAGGAGACTGGCAGCTCCCCATAGCCAGGATAAGGAGGAAGTGTGTGCCTGTGTGTGTGTGTGTGCATGTGTACGCATGCGTGTATTGGGGGGGAGACAGTTACAGATTTCTTTCTGACAGAAAGGTGCTAAACGAAGGGAAATATATTCAGTACATGCAGTATGCCCCTAGTGAGTGGGATCCGTAGGTAACAGTGGGAGAAAGCCCTTTAAATAGAAGTGTGTCACTACAGTAACAGCCCACCTGCCTAAAACTGCTTGACCTCAGGAATCAGCCCTCCCCGTTCCTCACAACCCCCTTTGAGGTATCATCCCAAGTTGAAATGAACACACTTATTTCTTTATTGTAAGTGATCATCTGGTTCAGTTAAGCTTTGAAATAAGGGAGAATTGAAAACTTGCACACACACACACACACAGACAAGGATTTATTTCTCTTTCAACAGCAAGGAAAAATTCAGAATCCAATGGAACTTAGGATTTCCACTATGATCTAAATTCCTTTCTCCTTCCATATGTTATTTTAACTGCACATCTGGATGTTCTAATCAAAGCAAGATCCCCACTAGTGATTTATAGCATCTTTTAGCATCACCCGACCGTTGCTGAGGCAATATAAAGCCTGTCCTCACTGCTATTATTTCAGCACAACAAATAGTTGGATGGCTGTAGAAGATACTGTTAGTCTTTTGTGGGGATCCTGCCTAAGAACATCTTTGCTTTACTGAATTAGACCAAAGATCTACTGAGTTTTCAGCATTCAGTCTCCATCACCAGACAGACAGGTGCTTCTTTGAGCTCAAACAAAATGTGGTAGTCTGTCCATCTCTTGTCATTTGACTCCAGTATCCAGCAGAGAAATATTGTTTCCAATTTGGAGGTTCTGCTAGGCTTGCATTTAATGAAGAGGTCTCATGTTCTTTCAAAAGAGCAATAATTCCATGTATATAAAAAATCCATGTGAGATGTGAGTGGCACTTCCCAAAGTGCTGGTTAGGCCCCTCTCTGGAAGCTAGATCATGGAGGGCAGTGCCCAGTGACTAGAAGGGAGGGGATGTGGTGGCCAACAGAGGCTAGCCAGATCTTGCTGCATCATCACCAACATCATTAGTGAAGCACATTTGTCTGGCAAGTCTGGAGTCAGGAGAAGGAGAAGATACTACTTTAAGACCAGAATAGCTAAATACAAATTTAAGCTCCTTCCATAGTGGGTTGGAAATTTGATGAAGGTGACATAGAATCATAGAATCATAGGGTAGGAAGGGACTTCTAGTCCAACCCTCTGCCCAAGGCAGGAGTCCTCATACCATCATGAGGATATGTTCTTTAAAAATATTTAGCAAAGCCTCTGTGTATTATAGTTCTTAATTCTGCACAAGAATAAAATAAAATAAATAAAACAAAAATTCCGGCATGCTTGATAAATATGTTGAAAGATAGTCAGAATTACTGGGTAGGGAGTTCATGGAGATGTTTTTAAATCTGACCACTTTAAATCTGCAACCGTTGAGGACAGATCACTGTTTTTCAAAGTATCAATACAAATGGCTACTAGGGTACAGGGAAAATATGAAAAGACAAATAGGATGTTGGAGAGTTTAATTTCCTGCAAGTATTCCAAGGTGGGTAAGCAAGTAGAGGTAGAAATGCATTGGAATGGAAGCTCGGGCACTGAAGCCAGTGCCCATGTCCCAGTGATATTGACATATGACCGAAAGTTGGGCTGTATAATTAGATGGTATCCAGGCAGATTGTAAAGATTATTTCAACTGTAGTTTTGGAATCTAGCAGTTATTGTACTACCTGGGCCTCTAAAGCCTGCCTCCATAACCCACTTGTAGGCTTCTTGGAGCCTTTGGTTAAAACAGAACACTAGACCTTTTCCATGTATCGAAGAAAAAGCCATTGCAATTCCCTGAAATAACGTTGGATTTTCTGTTTGTGCACTCCAGTAGTGCAGTACCCTCAGCCAGCCTTCCCTGCTCAGCCACTCTCCAGATGTGTCAGTCTATAACTCCCATAATTCCCAGAAAACATAGCACAGGGGCTGAGAATTCTGGGAGTTACAGTATTTTAAAAGATATTTAGGAATACTGCCATATAAGCAAAGAAACCTCCCCTCCCTCCCAGCACAGACACCCAGACAGGCAAACAGGCTCCATACTATACCGCAGTGTGATGTGGAGGCATAGAGGTCACATAAGTAGCAATAAATTATTCCTATCACGTTAATCAAACAGGGCAGGCATGAAGTCGGTGCTAAGCGGTCAATAGTGGTACTAGATTGGTTAATAATAAACCTATAAGAAAAACTTTTGAATAAGAAGCATTTTCAAAATGGACCTGTCTCCACACTGCCAGGTCCAACAGGGGAACTCTCTGCTGTCCCCAGTGGCTTGTCCTCTTCTTTCCCCATTGTTCTTCATCTGCCTGCCATCATTGCTTACCTCCTGGCTTATACAGGCCAGTCATCTCCCTAACAGTGTCATCTGAATCCTGAGCTTCTTCTTCCTCCTCCTCCTCCTCTTCCTCTTCTTCCTCTTCCTCAACATCTTCAGCATACTCTTCATCCATCCAGGAACTGTTGGATTCCAGATGGCTTTGTGCTAGGCGTTGCACAGCTGTCATTAAAGGGGAAAAAAAAGATGACAATTTGGAAATATTATAAGAGAAACGGGAAAGGGGGACTCGGTTTGCTTTTTAGAGTCGTAAAGATTTTTTAAAAGGTGCTGCTAGGTTCTAATGGCACACACAGCCGCAACGAGCAAAAAACCGAACCCATCTTTAAAGCAGCACTTGTATGATGGTTATGAAAATCCAAACATCTTTAGGCTTCCTGGCCACAGTGCTTGTACCATCCTACCGTGTTACACTGTGATTCTATCAGCTAGTTCATGTCAATCCCCACTGTTTAAAAGCACTACATTTCTAACTCTAAAAATGGCTGAAAACATCACGAAAATTGTCTTCTTTAAAGCTGCTAATTTCTGTGGATCGCCTGAAACAACAGTTTGTGCTTGTTCCTCCAACCGTTTTAAACGGCACGGAGAAAAGCCCTGCTACTCTAGCATTTTGAAGTGGAACATATGAAAGCTGTCACTGATTTTAGAATTCAAAAAGATACATTCCCCCCCCCCCCC